TTTGTTTGTTTGTTTGTTTGTTTGTTGGTTGTTGGGGTGTTTGTTTGTTTGTTTGTTTGTTTGTTTGTTTGTTTGTTTGTTTGTTTGTTTGTTTGTTTGTTTGTTTGTTTGTTTGTTGGGGTGTTTGTTTGTTTGTTTGTTTGTTTGTTTGTTTGTTTGTTTGTTTGTTTTTCTCCTCCTACCTTGCTGTATTCCACGGAGACGACAACCAAACATGGCTTCCCATCAGCTGTACTACCCTCTCTGACGCTAGTGAACAAAAATAGGTTCAAATCTTCAAATTATAAGATACAACAACCAAGTTTTCCATAACGGAAATGACAAATTTGGAATGGCGTAGGTCTGCTAAATTGTATGCATCAAATTATGACTTCAAACAACTTAAAAAAAAAAAAAAAGGAAAGAAACTTGTGTACACTTACTGGCAGGAGCTATATTTAGAAACGAGTGGAGCACGATTACTCATTAATGTACGCTCGGGCATTCAGCGATATTTGTACTCACGTGATGAGTTCCTGGGCAAGGAACTTCTGTAGCAAACTTTCCACACTCGCCTGGGACACATCATGAGCTAGAATCTGGCAAGTAGGAGAAAAAGACTGGAAAGTACAGTAAAAAGCTAATAAGACTAGCATTGCTGTGACCAATGTGGGCCCAATTTCACAACGCGGCTCAACAGCTGACGTGAAAATGTTGTGTTTACAATAACAAAATATCATGGTAATGCTTAAGCAAACAGTTCCACGCGCATGGAGCGTTTTTTTCTTGATGGTCAAGTTTGGGCGGCCTGTTCTTGACACGGGTTTCTTGTTCTCGCGCTCGAACGGCGGGAACACGACTCAAGAACACTGTTCTCGGAACAGGATCACACACTACCTCCTTGTCAGGGTTTTACAGGAACACACGGAAAAACTCGTGAGATTTTTGATTTTTGAACAGCTTCAAAAGTAGAGAGATAGACAATGGGAAGTTTTGCCAAGTTAACATTAATTATTTCCGTAACACCGAAATGAATGTTCCTGTTTATATAGAAAATAATTCAGCCCATCCAAACATTAACTCTCGAATAACGTAGCCTACAGGGACGCCGGCATGTTGTATGTTGCTTGTCACTTACTACCATCGGTAACTGGTTGTTTGTACCCGGCGTTCGAGCGGCCGACCCAAGAACATGCCACTGATTAAGCAACTTTTCCCTCGGGGGTTAAGGTTAATTTTTTAGTGTGCTTACCACTCGACGGTCTCGGTGAAACAGAGGAAGGCTCTGCAGCCCCAAATATGTTGAAATTATGGAATTAGGCTATCAGGAATTACAAGGAGATTCATGCTTCTACCGCATTGCCGTCGGACTGTCCAATGGGAAAAGCTGACATGAATTGTTTCTGTTCTTTATGCGGCTGCATGAGTGCGGTGTCTTGCCAGACCCCTTTTATAACATTGGGAGTAATTGCAGAACACCCCAGCACTCGGAAATACAGTACATCCCTGAAATCACTGGTTACGAGGGCATGAGGTGGAAAATCCCCATGAGAATGCTGTGACATTTTAACCTTGTAGCCGCCTAGGAGGTGGGTCATGCGGGGTGGTGGGGTATTCTGTAATTGAGCTTAATATTGCACTTTTTGGGGCGTAGAAGCTGGGTGTGCAAAGTCACTTGCAGAAAAGATAGCTAAATTTTTACTAGATCATTGGTTAGCATTACTAACATAGTTTGCCAATGGTTGACAGTAGAAGGCATCGGCCAGAAGTATTTGCTTCCCTTCAAGGTAAACAGGCATGAACAAGCATGACAAATTCCAAACACTTGCAAGTGACTGAAAAATTCCCTTGCAAACAGACGAGATGAGGTGTTGACTGCTCGAGAGAAGGCCGTCGTTTTCTTCATTTGCCAAGTGGACAATCTCTCATGCAGTTTCCTGAGTTGAACAGTCGTTCATATAGTATGATGTGTTATGTTCGTGGCACCAGTGATGCATTACTTTCTTTGAGATGTTTCTGCCGAGGAGTTATTTGTATCCTAAACGTGATGTCAAAATTGACTTTCCCCTACACCAATCACGTCGGACCAACTACCGTAAATTGACAGGGCTACCTTGCTGAGGGACGAGTGTAAGCTGTCCGAGTCCACAGGGAGCGACAGAGAGTGATCACACAGCCTTTCAAGCAGCTTCTTCTCAGTTCGAGGATCCAGCTTTGGTTCAGCAGAGGCTGGGACCACCGTGAGAGGACTGCTGGTGTCGCTTCTGGAGAGAGATGCCCCAGACTGAAAGGGAGTCCCTGGGCTGGTTGAGACATCTGAGATTGAAAGGGACTAAACGTTATTTTCTCTGGAAATTGGGAATGGTGTAGTTGCGGACCCCTGTTCCTGTAACAGAATGGAAAATTACTTCTGCAGGATTGATTTTTGTAGGAAGAGCGCAGGGTTTTGATTTTTGTATAGACATGATCATCCTGAGTGTCCAAACACAGTCAAGCACGGCTGCAACCCTACAGTTTCAATAAGGCCAAACAAACAAATAGCTGTGTTTCCAGTCACCCAACCCAACCTAGAAAATCACGCGGAACCCATATCTTTTTATTCGACAAATCAATAAAATATAAAAACCCATGGTGTCTTGTTTCTTGACTCCCCGTAACATTAGACTTTGTTTTCTGAAGTGGGGTCAGCCAACATTCTTTCCAAGATGTTTAAACAATGGCTGAATTTATTTTTAAACACAATGTTACTGCACAAGCATGACTTCGACAACGGCCGAGCAGAGAGAAAAGATATATAGGCCTAATTATAAAAACCATGCAAATCTAAGTCCTTGGTTCTTTGACTTGAGAAAAGCAGGCAGGCACGGATGCAGGCATGAGACCAAAAGTGCAAAACAACAGAGATACAAAGAGGGGAAAATAATGCACCAATGCCACTCTAATTCAAACAATGTTCACCTAAGTCATGTATAAAAATAATGTTTCACCACCGTTTCCGCTTGTTCACTAAAATGAGACATTTAAAAGAATCCCAGGCCTGCCCTCCCCCCCCCAAGAAAAATTCCTGAATCCGCCCCTGGGGATCACTACACTATTGATTCTTTGGCCAACTTAGCATGCTCGTGGTGGGAATGACATCCTTGAATCTGGATTTGGCTCTCTGAATAGTCAATTGGTGGCTATTCCATATTTCACAATCGAAACTCAAAGGAGCAAAAATAGCGTTGTGCTACCCCCAGAAGTGTGGCATGTGTGGGGTTCAACGTCCGCCCTACCCTCCAGTCCAGAACTGTGGGGTCCAACGTCCGCCCTACCCCCCAGTCCAGAACTGTGGGGTCCGACGTCCGCCCTACCCCCAGTCCAGAACTGTGGGGTCCAACGTCCGCCCTACCCTCCAGTCCAGAACTGTGGGGTCCAACGTCCGCCCTACCCCCCAGTCCAGAACTGTGGGGTCCGACGTCAACTCCTCTCCCAGGAGGGAGAGGAGCGATGCCGGACCCCACAGTTCTGGGGGTACGTCTGCCCTGCTCATGGGAGTGGAGTAGATGTCCAACCCCACAGTTCTGGGGGTAGTCATAGTGTTGTGCTTGTAGTCTATCATGTCTATGTGGAAAATCTAAATTGTTGACTAATCTCTTATGTTAACCTTTACAATTACATGAAATATGCCAGAAATTTCATTATTTATGCGATATGAATATTTCCCACACTGTTCCGAAAAGGTTTCAGTTATTTTTATTCTGTCATGCCTGTTGCAACAAAAACAAACAACATGCCTGTTGCAGAAAAACATGCAAATCTCTGTACAAAGTGAATGGAGCACAGACGTGAGTGCAATAAACGAAATAAGACAACCTCCGACCATTTCTACCTCCATGCTGCGACTACAAGCAGCTGACAAGAATGCTTAGCCTTGGGCCTACCTGCTATCACTGCGTTTGAACTGCCGTCGCTTTGGCTACTCAAGCCAAGGTTCTGTCGCTCTTTTTTTCTGCGCTGCAAACGCTCTCTGAGATTTTCTTGACGGCGTTTGACTGCCTGAATATCACTCCAGGTGTCTGACATTTTGAAACCTTAACCTTTCTACAGTAAGTCAGATCACATATGAACACGGCTTAACATTTGCTAAATTGCACGGCCACATGCACAGTACACATGTATACTACATTGTACACACTTGTTTTCGTGCATGGTCAGAGTGCGCCCTCTATAAATCCTTTCCGACCACACTAGCCATGTTGTTCGAAACGAGCTACGTTTCCGCGTCTTTCCATACCAGCTCCAACAGATACAGCCAGCTCTTGCAACACACAGAAACTCTCATACCCACCCAGTTGACCGACAGAAATGTTCTCCCACGTGCGTCCCAAGGGGAGTTTTGTCGGGAAAAGAAGGAAGATGAGGGGAAAGGGTGCAGCACACTCGTTTTACATCGCGGCAGCCACCCCCCCCCTTCATTAGTCTAGCAACGCCCGTGTGTTTTCCCATCCCCTCAGGACTTCAGTGTGTTCGGGTAACCATGCTGTTTACAAACTTTGCCCAAGGAAGGGGTTCGGTGAATTGAACTTGACATAGCGATCAATCAAGGGATACAAGGGGACCGAACGGTAGACAAGAAAATATCACACGATTACACCACATTCCAATTTTGCAATGACGATGCACGATCACTTTTATTCAGTAACTGCAAGGCTGTTGTCTACAGAGCAAAAGAACCAGCGGCGGGCAAATTAGTAAAATGTACGTTGGTTATGAGTCTTGTACAAGATTCTTCAGAGTGATTCCACGGATCAGAAAGAAAAAAATTCAAGCTATTAAAAACCAATGTGACATGACAGCGTCTGGTCAAAGCACAAGTACTTTCATGTTGCATCCAGGGGGAAAGATGTGAAAAACAGTTCACACTTCGAACATCTAAGTTTAGAGTTTCACAAAAAAAAACCTACTCCAGTGTGAAACAGAACATGTCTAACTTCCAGTGTCAGATGGGAAAAAGATGTCCCACATACAAAAATCGGGCATTAAACTTGACAAGAAAATTCAAGTACCCTGTTTTCCCCTTCCATCTTTTAAATAGTACAAAAGCTGTGAACCAAATTATACAACCAATCTGTCTTATAAAGGGACGGAAGCCGAGTACATGTATATGACATTTCTGAAAAACAAAGTCCTTGACAAAAGGCATGTGACCTGGCACTACGAAATGAATTTCAAGCTGCTGGATATTGCTTGAGAAGTTCAAGTCAATGTTGAACTTTACAAATTTTGCGTTTCTGAAACCCTTATGCGTTTACATGAATTAAGGTAGTTTTCCACTTCATGGCGTTTTCATGCAATTTGTAAGTGCTTTTACCAAGTGCACTACTGAAGTATTTCTTTTTTCAAGCATTTTTTTACACACCTCAATTTCTTCGCCTAGTTTTTTAACAGCTGTCTTGCTGATTTCCAAAGCTCTTAAAAGCATCAACATGCCCTTCGCAAGAGAATTGAAACAACTAGATCCACATTATTTCATGGGAATCCCACTTCCAGGTCAAGTTGCCAAGTCACATGGTCAATGTATTTGTTCATCTGTGATTTGGGTCAACACAAAATACAATTTTTAATCGGGCAAGAGTGGACTTGAGTTGAAGTCACACCAAACTTGTTTTGTAAATTTCACCAAAGTACGGCATTTCTCTCTTATACTGGAAGTCAACGTCCCCCAAATATCTTCCTGTTCTTAAGCATAAATAATTGCAACCTCTTTGGTTATTGACACTGCAAAGACAATGGCTACAGCAAGTACCAAGTGTAGAGAATTTGGCTTAGTGAAAATGTTTTGATTGAAAAAGTATCTTCCAGTAAACGAATTCAATATTAGATACATCCAAATATTTGAGTACTTTGATACATTATACATTGCGTTACAGAATATACGTAAATGAAAAATGGGGCGGGGGCAATGAAAAGCAATACACTGCTTCACCCTATGCACCAACAGAAACATTTCTGCTTACGAGGTTGACAACCAGTTGTTTTAAATATTTATGCTGTATGTAACAATACAAACACGCTTTGCGAACAATAAACATATAGCAATTCAGACTATTTACAAATGTACATTCACCTGCCAAAAAAATGATGGTCAAAAACCCTTGGCAACCTTAAAACTGGTAAGCGTACTCATTTACAGCATGATCACCATGTGAACTGAGGGTGTGGTTGTGAAAAATGATACTATAAATCTCTTTAATTTTTCGTCATTGGTTTCTGTATCTTTTGTTGCGTGGGGTTAAGAGACAATGAAATCCTCTGGCTTAATATAATCGGCTCTGTACATTCAAGGTTCTGCTAAGCAAGAATGCATTTACAAAACTAAATACAAAAAGACATGTACACATACGTTGGCAATGCGATTGCCCCTCTTGAGGTTATAGGTTAATATACAATATTTACAGTGTTCTCTCATCTACTCTTACTGTTGAAGTCAGATGCCGCGCAAACGTCGGTTGCCACTGAATCCTCTACAATGAAAGAACGGATGAAACTGTGGGGGGGGGGAGAAAGTGAAAACAAAGAACAATCAGAATCAAAGCAATTCAGGAAATGAAGAAAACCTGACACCAAACACACAAGAAGATCTGAAGGTGTGAACAATGCCATGGGAAGGAAAGACAACACACGTTGACATTTCCTACGTTCAACAGGAAGAAAGTGTTAGCATTATTATTCAGTTATCACAAGTGTGATCTGCCCAGTGGAAGGTGGTATATATCCTACAAAACTGTACACAGGGCTCCAAGCTCCACCACTTATTATACAAAGGCTACTTGGGGTTAAATACAGACACCATGTAACTTGTACCATTCTGAGAAATACATGCTCTCCTTTGACTACACCCAGTTTAAAGGTTTACTTGCGATTCGCTCGCACAGAAAAATCCCTTCTGCTCACAATAGTAAGGGAAAGAGAGTGATGGTAAAAGTAATCATGCTTTTTTTCAATAATGACATCAATCATGGGAGATGTTCTTCATGGTTTGCTACTGAATAACTGTATCTCATCCACATTCATGTCTACCTTAGAAAATAAGTTAGTGAAACACACAGGAGAGAAGATGCTATATCCTTGTGTACTATAGACTCATTGCAATGGGTAAAAGTTCACAGGCTTTCCCTTTTTCTCAAGGCCTGGGAATTCTCTATCAGGGAACATTCCTCTATCTACCCTGATCCAACACTTTGATTGTGGCGCATGCTTCACTTGGGACACTGAACAATGTTTGATGCCCCATAGTGTCAACCACCACATAAGTGTTTTCCATGAGGGACCTTAGTGCGCTTTCACGTAACACAGCACTGCCCAAGAAAGTAATTCTCTATCATGCTAAATGGAACAAAAGTTCTGTAACGGCAAAAAATGACATTCCAAATGTAGTGTATAATACATCCCAAGTCGTAAACTCTTCTCTAAACACATCATGCGGTACATGTTATTTTACAAAATTGTGGATGGCCATTGAGGTGCAAGGGAGGTAGGCCTGTATAGTCCTTTTAGTATCATTAAGCAAACCATGCTGTTGAGCGAGTAATTTTGGAGAGTCAGAGACTACATTTTTGTAACCAAGAGATGAATGCGTTGAAGTACAGTAATCAAATAGACAGGCACATCTAGGCAATGCAGTAAGGCCATGGTGTAACAAAATCTAGAAGAAATGTACAATTTCTGACCAACTCGGTGTCTATTTTTAACAGAATCCAAGATTGTATGAAAAGTTTTTTTCTAGATTTTGCTTTCCACGAAGTTACCACACTGCTGTCAGGATTGTTACTCCTGCCATGCAAAACAACCCATCTCACTGATCCTGCAAAGGACAAGTACTGTATTACTGTGGCAAAAAAAAGGGATTATTAAGTATCTAAATGCCTGTAGTTTTAGAGAATACGGCAATGGCCCCACATTATTGGGGCTGGTTGCTTTTACCCTCATTGTACACATGTTCCTGTTCTGATGAAACACAAGAATCAAAATCATTAGGGTAATCTCATGTCAAGTCTGGCTCCCTACAGTGGGACAAGAACGTTAAGAGATGTTTAATGCTATGACTCAGTAGGCAATAAAGTACAGATAACCAGATTTCAGTCAAATTGAACAGATGGTTACGAAGTGTCTTGGCTTCCCATCCTTCAATTGCCCTGGTCTGGTTATTTATAATCATATCATACCATCATCCAAAGTCGCAGTTGGGACAGTCCCATTGAAGTGAGCTTGTTCCTTCCACCAGGCAAGGAAATTTTCAATGTCATCGGGTGGCGCCTCCTCAGAAGTACCTTCCTCTATAACCAACCCCTTTTCCTCAATGTTCATCATGCCCACTTCATCTTCGTTATTTGTCACTTTAACGTCAACAATGCCTAACTGCATAAGTTCTTTTAACACTGGCTGTCCCAGAGCCATAGCTGCAGTGCCGCTCGAGTCCACTATCAGCCCTAGAAAAATACGGTCAAAATTAATGCAGCATTAGTTTTACCATGAATGGGATGACAAAATGGATCCTGAACTGAAAGCCCTGTGGCGCTTCCTGCAATGTAATTGAAGGAGCGGCCGGTGCTTCCTGCAATGGAAGTCAAGAAATGAGTGCTTCACCTACCAAGAAAACTTGATGCGGTGGAATTCTGACGAGCCAACTTAGCAAGAAGTCCAGGGCTTTTAAGTTCAAGTTGTGCAGCTGCTTTCAGTGTGTCTGCAAAGCTCTTTCCTCCGTCAATCCCGAAGGCCACGGCTTGAGGCACACTCTGTTGCACTGGCTGCATCACAGGCGACGAAGCAGTCTCAACAGTTTCGGGTACATTGACGGCTGGATAAAGAAAATGCACTTTTCTTAGGCAGTCTGAAAATGCAGTAAACAATTTGTGCCATAACTTTTACATAGGATGTGGTCCAATATAAAGGTAACTACGGTAAGGCGCAGCTGTCTGTATCCCAATTTCCAAGAATTAGGGAGGCCATCAGTGTCTCAAGTTCACTATAAATGAACTAATTCATAACCTGTGCAAGCTCTGAACTCGAGCATAGTTAAATGTTTGTTTGATAAACACTGGGATCCACTCACCTGTAACATTACCCAATGGCAACTGCATGGGAATACTCTCTGGTTTCCTTTCAGATTCTGTTGACAAGGTGGGAATAGAATGAATTAGCCAAGTAGTAATGCTCGGTTTTCCATGAGATGGAAATAGAAAGGCAGGGATCGTCAGGTCAAATCTCCAAAACAAAACCAAATTCTGATAAACTAAGTCCTGAAATTTCTCAAGTTGTTAGCAAGACCCAGCATCAACCACAGGCCAATAATACTTGACAGAAAGCATAATGATAGTATTTCTTTGGTTTGAGTTTAATGCAGAAATTAGCGCAAGTTGTAGGAACCTTCATCTAATTCCACAAAACAAAAACAGAATCTTGTAGGAGAAAAAACACGGTATCAATGTGCCTTTTGTGTCAAGTTTGTAACCGAGTGGTTTTTCTGGTTATCGAAATCAGAAAAGTTAAATGGCCTGTGGGACAATGCAGGTTTCATGAACATCATCAAATAATGAGACAAACTGATTTCAAATTACTACCTTGAATTATAAGCTACCACCATTAAAAACTTGCCTCATGATTTGAAATATCTGTTCATGGATCAATCTTTAAAAAAACATGCACCATTGTCCACACTTGGACAACCCACCACTTCTATACTTCTTTGTCCCTTCTTTTATTACTTTGGTTTTGTTTTGGAAAGTTGTCATAGTCAAGAGGAAAATAAGAGCAGTTCACTCTTCGCTGCTTGACGTAAAGAACCTGTTTGGGAAAAAAAGAGTTATGCCGAGGCCTAGACTTCTCAGTCTCTCTGCAAAAAAAACAAAGCTCTCAAATTAATATGCACGTCACTAGGTCAAAGTCTCTGCTCCTACAAGCCCAAAATGTTAACGGTGCACCAAAACATTCCTCGTTTCATAGCACTATTTTTTTGTAATAGATCAGCTCAAATGGAATTGCCAAAATTAAGCCAACATGTTTCCTTTCTCCAGTCAACATTGCAATTAAATTGCATTTATAACAAAGGCTATCTTCCCGTCTTTGAAAAATCAGATGTTTTGTCAATTTCCTTGCCGAGTGGGTTTGAAACTACTTTAAGCCATTTTCAAAAGTAGTTTGAACAGTATTTCAATACATCAACCTTTGCTTGAGTAGCAAAGCAAAAGAAAACCATAATGCTGATGTTGTTTTTCCATAAAACAATGTAGTCATGAACATGGCTGACCAGGTAACGGCCTCTGAACCTTTTTTTATTACATAAACATTTCTGCAACATGGATAAGCGACAATGTTCAGCGACTACCATCAGCACTAATGTTTTCCATTGCCTCTCTCAGCAACTCCAAGCATAGGTCTCAGTAAGAATAACCAAAGATATTTGACTGTACTGTACTGTTGAGCCGTGATCCAACTGTGGGCCTGGATGAACGTTAACAGCTAGTTAACGCCGCAGCCAAGTGCTATGGGAAGCACAGCACAATGTGTGCTTTAAGCCGCAAGGGCAAACAAATCTGAAGGGAAGAGCAGAGTTCATTGATGAATAAAAACCCACCCCACTTTTTCCTGAACAACCCTTCCCCAGGACAGACTACATCATGGGTAACAACTTGGACGATGAACAAGAAATGAAGATGAAATGTGCTCAGCAAAATGTGCTTTATATTTGAGCGAGTATGTTCTGAAGTCAGTTCATTACGCAGTGAATGAACGGTTTTCAGTTTCAAAGAGGAAACTCTTTTGGTCAAATGGAACTCACTTTTCTTTTCAATAACAATGAATTGACAACCATCTTTTATTTTGGGGTTGCTTTTTGTTATGCATTTTATATTTGGCTCCTTTTTTATAAAGCACTCATAAGACGTTTATAAAGATTCAACTAAAAATTTTGGTGGTGTACAGTCTGCGAAGCACTTTCCACTTTTTTTATTTCTCCCCAAGCGATCAATGTTAAAACTGTTCCAATTTTTCAACCGAGTTTACTAACTCAGTTTTCGACTTAGAAAGTGTAGCTAGCAAATGAATAACTTTGTAACTGTATTTAAAATATGAATTGGTTTAATATTTCACACGAGGTAAATTTTTATTTTAAAAAAATAAACGAAGTATAAAACTGACCAGTTTCAACATTGATCACTGCCAAAAAAATGAACTGGTCATTGCATCAATTGTTTGTCAGACCTGATTTCACTTGAACTTTCAAAACTAATTTTCCAAATTATGTTTCAGACCGAATAGCATCTTTACACTTCGATTTTGCAGAGATTGGTTTGGATTTTCTTACAGTTGATACAATGACTGGATAGTAAATTTCATCACTCAAAATAAGGCCGTATTGGATTTACAAGTTTTAACTCCTTGCCCATTGCACAAAACAGCAGGGTCCATCGCAGGCACCGTATACAACCAATTGATCAACAATTTGATCCAGTGAGGGCTTTTCTCAGTGATATTTTCAAAAATGGATGCTTGATGATATCAATGGGATGCAAGTTGAAATAATACCACTTCAGACTTCAAGGCTTTTGTAACTCCTGCTGAATTGCTTCATGGCAATGTAATTAAAGAAATAAATGCATGCATCCCAATTCCAGCAGTTACTTTCAAATTGAGCTGAAAGAGCTAAACTTTGGCATTTAGTATAATTCACCATGCGCGGCAACCACTGGATTTCCCTTGTAAAATGTCGGATTAATTTTCGCCTCCTACTCCTGATTTATGCCAATTCAAACAACTTCCTCAACTGTTGACAGCCTTAAATTCCGCCTGGTAACTGCTAAAATTGTAATGAATCCAACTTCATGCATCTTGCAAATCCAAGAAAATTCCACTTGTGTCCCATGCATCTGTTTGGCCGAATTAGAGCAATTTACAGACATTAAAACCAACAATCAGCAGCAGGTATCAACACGCCTTATTCAAACATTCCGCAAAAATGTATAAAGCGGAAGTAATGAAATGTTTTGCCAGAACCTCTCCAACGTTATTGAAACATTTCTCAAAATTTGAGGTTATTTTTATGCGGATGCAAAATTCAACTTGGCTGTTTCAATTAATGGTAGTTTTCCACTTAAAAACGATGTAGATGCATGGCAGCGAATCGGCAATTACACCGACATGACAGAAGTGAAAGTTTCTGATACGACCATAGCATATCACTGCATCCAAGCACAGCATGGACTCTTTTACTTACCAGTCAAAGGCATGTAGTTGAAGGGATGAGCATAGAGCTCACTGGTTTTGTTTGGACCGCTCGTAACAACCAGATAGACTTCTTTAGGTCTATCAATGTCCAGAGTTTTGTAAGGCGGTACTTTGCACACAATGTGGGTCTGCAAAAAGAAAAAAAAAAAAGGAATAGCAAGTCGATGTCAAACATATAACCATCTCAATTCATCTAAACAAGAATTCCAATCACCCAAGGAATGACTTACATTGTGGAAAAGTGTTTTGTCCATCTCACAGTTGCCTTCCCAGAGGACTTTCCCAAGAGGGCAGAGTTCCTGCAGCTTCACCTTGGTGTGTTTGGCTATGAAGTTTTTGCCAATAATGAACAGATCCTCGTCTCCTTTGACGGAGCAGCATGCCATGCTCTTCTTGACTATCTCAGGGTGGCCAAGCGGCTGAGCTGTTGACAAAAAAGATTGAAACAGTTCTCAGCAGAAAATCTACCCATCAAAAAAGCTGAACATGCTCCACGACAGTTTCAGTCCGGGTGACAACTTATCGCATGTACTTTACTTACTGCAGCAGATGGGCGAGGAAATTTCCTGCAGTACTGTGTTGGAACCATCAGGCCTCTTCATGAAGACTCTGAATACAAGACGCACTGTAGTACTTTTCCTCTTTGACCTTGCTAGTCCTATTCTCTGCTCAACGTCCGCATTCCTCAACTTCAGAATACCAACGCAGTCAATACTAGACACAGAAATGAACCGGGGAACGAAATATTAAACTTAGCTGCTCGAGTTAACTGAAAGTGTTGCAATTTTGAGTGAGTTTGAAAACAAAGAGTATATTGAAAGATTGTACCTGATCTCCATACTGCCAGTATTGCCAGTGTTCTCCCAAGGTATCTCTATGACGGTTGTCCCATCAATATCTATCTCTTTACATGGGGTTGTATTCCTGCCCGTCACTTTGCATGCTTGGTAGTAGCCATGTGGTTTTATTTTGCCTTGGTCCGACGCAACAAAGACATGCAATGTCACACCTTCAGTCACTCCATCAAGCTGTTGTGTGTAAAAGAACCAGTTTACATTTTGGTAATATGAATAAATAAAGGAATCACATAATGAACAGCAAACTACCTAAAAAAAAAATCTCATCTCCAGATATGAGCAAATGGGGCTTACCTTCAAGGTGGGAAATGCCTGTTGTGATTCATCTTTGACACTGCCACGGCTGCCCTCTGTGAGGTATCTTGCTCGGTGGTGCTTCTCGGGCTGAATAAGTACAGACAGTTGAGCACCCGCATCGCTGTTTGGGAAGGACAGGTTCAAACTAGGAGGCTTGGACTTGGCTGCTTTGCGTTGACTACTCGGTTTGGTACTGTTGGATCAATTAACAAACTTGATAGTCAAAATCTCTTGCAACGTTGTTCAGTTTTCCTGGATGGGAGGAAGACGGGTTAATAACAACACAAACAAAAAGAGCCACACGTCAACTTCTACGCGTTTCACGTGTGAATCTTTACAAAGAATGAATGGGCCCGAGGATGGACACCTTAACTGTACCTGGTTCTGACTGGTACAGAGCAGTTTCCGTTTTCTGTAGAAGCACCTTCTAGGTTGAAGGTTGCACACATGAAACTGGGGTCAGAGACTGCCAGTCCGAAGTCGAAACCTCCCACTGGACTTCTTGGAACCTGGGCTACAGAGCCAGGTGATAACTGGGAAATGGAAGTCCGTCGTACTTTTGCTTTAGGCTCCTCTTCCCAAAATCCGGGATCGTTGTTATTTACGTCGTCGTCCAACAACGATGCTAGGGAGCTGATAGTGTCTTCATCAAAGCAGAGATGGTGTGTGCTTTCGATAACTGGAGATGAAGCTGTGCTTGAACAGTCCAGGCTGAATGGGCTTGAGGGTTCACTTGGGGAACTGGTGGACATGGGTGATGCGACGGCACACGAGCTGGACTCTGGGCTGCCAACTGCCTCAGTCTCGCAACTCTGAGAGATTTGACTGGCCATCAGGAGGGCCAAGCTGTCACTTACCTTGTCGTTTGACAAGAACGGGTTAAATTCTTGACATTGAGCCAAGTTTGCAGTTTCGGACTTCACTGAGGATAGGTCTGAAGTTGCCTCGTTCATTGTAAGATCTGGATATTTCATAAAATTCAGATATAAAGGCAGATACTATCAGGTTGTGTCCTTCAACTACCAAAACACTTCTCCTCAGGCTACCTTCAAGGGTGGGAACACCACATAAACACAAATGCAAGGGTTGTTGGTTTTCATTTATTTGCACTTCATTTTTAAGAAAGCAACTGCAACTAAACGACAGCTGCCTTGTACATCTCAACTTCCAATGAGGCCAAGAACCCAACACCATTACATTTGCATAGTTACTCAACACTCAATAACACAAAATTAAATTACTTAGTTCAGACTTGTGTAAGTTTTATTAGCAAATCAACATCTGACACATCACTTCTCGGATACATTAACATGCAAGTAACATACGTGTAGTTATTACTGTGCTAAAGAAATAAGAATTCAATTGAACAAATTTAGTACACTTACGTAAAAAAATCACTATGGCTTTACTTCAGTAATTGGTTCAAGCAAAAAAAGCGGCAGTTGTTGGTAGGCCTGGCAACTTTGTTAACAAAACCTGAGGTTGCTTTTGTTCACACATTCTTTGAAAAACAGCTTGGGGCTGAAAAGTAAGCAGCTTCAGAAGGCAATCATGCACCTCATGCATTAGAATTGTCATCAAAGAACAGACAGTACAGCTACACCTTTTTTCTCAAAGAGCTACGTGAATCCTGACTTTTCCAGCCAGACTTTCAAGGTTTCAAAAACTAAACTGTTACAATCACAAGTTTGGACTTTTTAATACAAAGTTAAACTACAGAATCCAAAAGAGCAACTAATCATAAAATACTTTCTATATACATCAAATTGTTAACACATTCCACAAGTGTAACAGCTCAGAATTTCAAGTGAAAATGGACCACTCTTACCAGTCTTTATGGATGGGCAGTTATTGCCAGAGATCGAGTGCTGACCATTTCCTAACGTAAACGTGAACCCTGCAACAAAACAGAAGACAATATATAACATGAAAACGTGCTTCCCAAGTTTATCTCAATAGTTTCCTGCTAAAGTTGATGACATTTCAGGGCATTTTACTCCTTTCAGGTGGCTGACATGTCAACTACACGGACAAATCAGAGGAGTCCCCAGAAGGCCTGTGGAATTCTTTCCATTTTTCTGATAGTGATTTTCTGGATAGTGATATTGAAATAGGCACAATTATGGATTTTCATTTAGTTAGGCGTAACTCCCAGGAGAAAAAAAACGAAGTGGCTATCGTTACTATTATTACGGTACTGAACTACACAAGTGCGATGACGAAGCTGATCATCACAATGGATAATATATATTTCAAAATTAACTGAATCCCTGAATGCTTGTGGCTGAGCAATCAAGGTGGAAGGTTTGGAACCACTGGTGTGTGAGTTCGAATCCGTGCTTGGACTTTTTTTTGGCCTAAATTTCATGTTTTATAGCATAATTGTTTTTTTTTATGCTGGTTCCTAATTGTATAGGCCATGGCAGAAATCCTTTTTCCTTTTCTCATCGGAAGCTTTAGAGGATTTTTTTTTAAAGGGAAATCTGCACTTTAAGTGGCGCGCTTGCGCAGTTGCACAGCCGTACCGATAGAAAATGGGAGATGCGTTACAGCTGCTGTATCAACAGCCACTGCGAAAAAAAAAAGGCCCGAGCAAATTCTGTTATCATATTTGTCTTATGTTTGACGTTCCATGCACTTTCATTGAGAAAGTCCATTCTATTTCTATTCGTAGCGCGCGTTCTATGCTCACAATTTTACATCAAATCATTTCCCCTATAACTGTCAATCATTTCGTTTCTGCTGTAGTCTGTACGTTCACAAAGACATTGAGCAATGTCTGGAATGCGACCGCGGGGTCCCAGAAAGACCCCGACTGTTGATTGGTTAGTGCCTCGTTACATCTCATTAGCATAGTGGCCGTCCACCAGGCCACGCCCACATTGCGTTTTTCGGCGCCATTACTGTGTCGACAGCACAACCAGCCACAAAGATGATGAAACACGCTTACAATTTACTTCAGTGTCCAAAGCTATTGAAATTTTTCACTACCTTCTGATTTTGCAAGACACTGCTTTCTGTGAGCAATGAAAAACTAATCACTCTAACTTACGGTCCAAAATTCACTCCAACAGGGAGGGAAATAAAGGCAAACTAGCAGTGGCATGCCGGCATGACTGGAATTTGGGAGAATTCAAGAAAACAATTTCAACACGCACCTTTAGAGCAGTTATTGAGAGAATTTAGGTCTTCTACTCGTAACACGTCCAGCCCTAAGGACTCCAAAGAAAGTATCGGCATGGTATAGGCGCCGCTTCAACCTTGGTTGGTAGAATTTTATGTAAACTTTCGAAAATCTGTCGCTCGAGGACGCAGAGACTTCCAGGTACGTCTGTTCCCTTCGCCGCGACAACAAGAAATGAACACGTGAAGGGTCGCTTCTTATTGGCTTGTATCATGGGTGTGCAAGGAAGGCGTATGTCTTACGTCATTTTCCTGAAAGCCCATTGGAGAGTTCAGTGATATTTTTATCTTCATTTGCATTGACGTTATCTTCAGTGACCACGTGATCTTTGACGTAAATGGCATCGAGCAACAGGAGCGTGAGTTTTATATAGTAACTGACGTAATGCATCAATTTTCGACTACAATTTTCAATTTTTTTTCACCTTATTTCTAATTACTATAATCCTCTGTCTGTCGTGCCTTTTGTCACCAATGTAACTGTTTTGTCTAGTAAAACACAGAAAAAATAAAACAAAAAATCACTTAAAATACTTAATTTTGCAAGTCATTAATCTCACATCTCAACAAACTATCTCAACTTACTGAGAGAACATATGGTGTTCCATGTCTGCCACTCAATGTGACGGTTATCAATTCCAGATTTTTTCTTTTTCTCCTCATTAGCTGAAAATATCATGATTATAAATACACTTTATCGGTTCATCAAAATTGATCAAGATAACCAATTGGGTGCGTTCGATTAGCTTACACGTGTAAGTAGTCAAACTTACTCAAGAGCGTTCGTTTAGCTATCACGTGATCTGTGTGCCTGCCCTGGTGTCAGCCACCACTACCCCCGCTGGCGAGCAGGTCTCTGGAGGCTGCCCGAGTGTGATAACGTCACGGATGAACTGTTCGAGCATGGACATGATGGAACGTGGCTGGGACTTGACCTTTTTCCCAGAATGCCTTGGCTAATACACTTCAGCGTTCAATTTGGCTTCCCTTGCCTGTAACACTGGTGTATTCAGGGAAGGTAATCGAACACACCCAATGATTTGAAATATATCCCCAAAAGACACCTGATCAGTGAGATTTAGCGAGACGATAAATTACCGTGATTGTACCAATGCCTCTGTTTTTGTGATCTAAGCCGACACCTTGACTTGGGCCAAAGCATTGCCATTGGCTAACCGAAGACTTCAAATAACGCTTCTTTAACAGAAATTGCTAACCTCGCGGTCGGAGGTCTTGCACAAAGTAGCCAATCACAGTGCAAAGCCATCAGCATTCCCCAGCTCCCTGTTTGGGCGCTGGGCGACTAGCAAACATTTGTAGATTTAGATGTTCGGGAGTAATGGCGATTTCCGGAAGTTTCGTTCTCAAAGCGCGTAACAGAAGATAACATATTTTGAATGTGGAATCGTCCCAAAAGCTGTTTTTTCCGTGTTTTTTTTTTAAATATATGAATTTTTAAAACAAAATGAAAAATGAGGCGGGCGGGGACGATCACCAACTATTTTTTTTGGGGGGGGTGGCCCAATACCTAGTGCACTAACGCTACTTTAACTCAACATAGCTTTTATCAAACCATAGCGTTTTGAGGTTTTGAGCGAGCGATACAGCTTCATCGCATATGCAAGACAGAATGGAGCGCATCCGAGACAAAAACTGTATGCCGTCAAAATTTCGTTAATTTTGCAAGTTTTTCCACGGCAGAAACTTTCAACTGCCAACCTATCCTTCAACGCCCAGCATGGCACCGGCTGGGTGTGTGGAAAATTATGTGCATGTGTCAAAATTGAAGTATTGAGGACTGTATGACGCAAGGGAAGAGGTTCAAAGAGGGACCAGACTAACCGCAGGAAAGAAAGGATGCCGTAGGGTGCAGACCACTAATTCAAGTGAGAATTTTGGACCAGCTCATTAGCATTAAAAGTGCTCCCACCAGCAGTACCTTTTGAAAAAGGAGATTGTTTGGCCCCCGAAATGGTGAGATTGTGTAAATCGTTGCCAGGATCAACTCCCTGGGTCTTTGAGCTCTCATATGAGGGCATAAGGGCTAAAAACTACGGTTGAAAAATGGTGCCCGAGAAAGTTGAAGGTTGCCACTTGAAAAATGGCTGCAATCCGACTTCG